GGTTCTAAAGTTCTGTGATAATTCTGTCAGAAGGCTGTGGCCAGTGAAACAGTGTATCGGCAGGTCTTATGACCAATAAAGAGATACTAGATGTTCCTGCTCCATTATGGCAATAAAAGACACATCTAATACAACATGACAGCTCGGGGCCTTAGGGAGGGGGGTGGTTTTCTGTAAAACATGGGGCTGACAAGGATGATCAAAGTAACACTAGCTTGGTGGGCAGGAAGAGAGAGATGGGGGGAAAATTTCAACTTCTTAATCCTGCCTCCTGCGTGCCTCACTTTCACTGCATTTTCAGACAGCTCATAGCTGCAGTTAGGTGAGTCTGTGGGTAAGTAATCAATTGCCTGTGTGATGTGAATGAACAGTACTGGGAGGGGGGAGGGGGAGGATGCCAATAGGCGATAGGAAATAGACACAGAAAAAAACAGGTTCACAAACCCAGAGATGTGATTCTATTTCTCTGGGACTGACTGGGGAGCAAGAGGAGGGGGAGGGAAAACCAATCCCTGTTGGGTTTGAAGGCTTGTATGGGGGAGAAAGACCTGCATTCTGCAACTGACTCCTAGTGGTTGTCTGTTGGTCTTAAACATAGGCAGTGAACTGAGAGATCACTGAAATTAATACTTGTTACTTTACTGAAGGTATAAAATGTTACCATTTTTAACACCCCTGTTAGGAGTGTAAAATCACTTGTGTTTCTATTATAAACCTTATCACAGACTGGACCCAACCCACCTGATTCAAATTTAGGCTCCACTACTTACTAGCTTTCTAAGTAGACAAATTACTTAATATTTCTGCCTCAGTCCTGAATTGAAAATAGGGATAATTTATATATATTTATTTATTTATTTATTTATTTATTTATTTATATTTATATATTTATATATAATTATATATGTAATCATATATATAATTATATATATATAATCATTTAATGGAAACTAAAGAGATACATTGTAATAGAGATTAGGAAAAACAATATATCTCTTCATTTAATAGGTACTAAACAAAGGATTCTGGGAAAATTCTGGTCCTGGTTTTGTGTGGGGAGAGGGAATTTAAGCTTATGAGTATGTAGTGTGAGATTTGGGGAGCATTTTCTGCATCTGTTCATAAACATTACAAATGCTTGCTTAAATCAGATATCCCACATTGGCTGCCCTAGGGACAGATCTGTTTTGTTTGGCTCATACTTATAATTTTAATTTCTTAATTAAAGACCAATACTTCATACTAGAGAGAGCAGTAAAACTCCCAGATTTCCATCTTTTTTCCTCTTCAAAATTAGAAGACCTGGCAGTCCTTGAACTACAGTGACATGGAGAAAGCACCTGTCTCACCTTTACATGGGGAAGGTATTCTGTTTGCCATGTCCCCCAGTGTTGTCTCTCTAACAGGAGTCAAAGTGGCACTCACTGTTTATTGTGCTTGCACCACTTAAAAATTTTTTAAAAAATATATTTATATTGATTTCAGAGAGGAAGGGAAAGGAAGAGATAGAAACATCAATGATGAGAGAGCATCATTGATTTGCTGCCTCCTGCACACTCCCTACTGGGGATGGAGCCTGCAACCTGGGCATGTGCCCTGACCTCCTGTTTCATAGGTCGATGCTCAACCATTGAGCCGCACCTGCCTGGCACAACACTGGTTTTCCTTGTGCTAAACACTGCATTACCTGCCTGGACTCTGTAAATATTTGAGACTAAAGAATGTCTCTATTTCCTGTTTGTTTGTTTTAACCCTCGTTACCTCTTTATTACTCTTCTCAATTTCAGTAGCTGTTAGAGCTGGTTGGTGGTAGGAGATGTAAAAATGAATAAAGAAACACTAAGAATGGAAACTACTGAGACTGACATTTTTGCTTAAGGCCCTAAAATACTGTATATTAAAGTATGTCAATGAGGTCTGTTGTTAGAATTTTTAAAACACGGAATATACAAAAACCATTTTCAAACCCTATGACTTGCTTTTCCAAAATATACTTTGTCATCCCAAAATATGGTAAGTTTTAAAAACTGCAAGCATTACGTGTTTAATATAGTTTTATTTCCTGCCTCTGAAGTTCTATGACACATTTTCTGGAAGTGAATGGCTAGTTATATTTTTAAAGTTTCAGTGGCTGAAAATAAATGTGAACCATCTGACCCATAAAAACTCTGTCATCTATGACTGTATCTGTAAGCTTGAACCTGTTTATGTTTTCAGTCCAAAGTATATCTTAGAAGTTAAGGGAGGGGGAGGCATTAGTATATCTCTGTATTTATGTTAGAACTTCAAAGGGTAGCTTTTTAAAAGGAGAATGTAATTACAAAATCTTTTTCTCACGCTATATCCATAAGTTTGCTTCTTTGCTGCCTTCATGCCTGGAACATTTAAGTTGCCCTTTTGATGGAATGTATAAAGCTTCTCGAGGTTAAGCATCTGGAGTGAGGCACATCTTTTTGTACACTGCCCCCAAGCCATTTCCCCCAGGCCTGCAGAATAGTTCAAAATTATTTGAACGGTGGTGTATCAGTGAGATCCTAACTTTGGTCAGCATTCCAGCACTGAGCTGAACACAACCCCAGTCCATGGCACCACTGCAGAAAAGACGTGGTTCACTCCCAAAGGTACCTCATTGCCGTAACCACTGATAGTGGAAGCTGCCCACGCCCATGGTCCCTACTTCGGTTCTGCCAGAAAGATGATGGGTGTGTGGCAATATCATCGCTAATTGCAGTGGCCTGGGGGAAAAAAGGCAGTGGAGGATGAGGAAATGCTGAGAATAAACTAGAACCCCTGCCACACACAACACGACCCTATGCTTCCTCAATTCCCCATTCCTCCGTCACCCTGTGGAACAAGTCGTTTTAAAAATGCTCTTTGGACTCTGCACATAAGGCTGTCACCAGATTGGCTCGGCTCTGCCCACTCTTCCTTCCCTACAAAACTCTGAGATAATTCGAGGGCTCCTATACTCCATGAAATCTCATAACTAAAAGCAGGGAGCATCCCTGGTACCATACACGAGGTTGAAAACTAAAAATAAATTTTAAATCTACAAATGTCTTGAAGACAAAGCATCTGAAGGACTGAAAGAATGTTTTACCTTTCACCCAGATATGTTGCATCTCCCAAGTGCAGCCCCAAGGGTTCTGCTGTCATTATAACAGCGGTGTCACCTCTCTTGGATAACCATTGAGGACCCAAGGATACAGGAATCTGTTTTGAACTGCTTCATAGTCTGCATTTTCCTCTATGATGGTTTATACTACTGTGTGATCAATGTATTTAATTCTGCTTTTGAATTTAAAAAATAAAACAGCCCTCAAAAACACAAGTGAGTTTTTTTGGCAAAAAAAAAAAAAAGGAAATCAAAATGTACATAACTGTACTTATATGTTACTGACAATTCTATAATTTTATATAATATGCTTCCCCTATTAAGTACTGAGTATATGTAAAGGTCTCAAAGAAGAATGTTTGAGTAAATAATAATAGATACCATGTGACTGGCACTGTGCTAAGTGATTGACATCCATGATCTCACCTAGTCCCCTAAGTAACCCCATGAGCCATACTATTGCTAAATCCATCCCCTCAGAAACTGTGAAAAGGTACTCTACACCTCTTTCACTGATGAGGACAATTGAGTGGTAGGGTAACTTGCTCATTCATAGCCAAGCCAGGATTTCAACCTATATGTGACCTCAAAAAAACTAGACTTTAACACACAAAAATAACCTGATACAAGGAATTTAGTTTAAAAAATATAAAGCAAGTAAAAAGTGCCCTATTTTAAGGTACACATTTAGCTCAATGCCTGTCTTTTACATTTGCTTCAGCAATGCTGTTCTTTTTTTAAATATATATTTTTATTGATATCAGAGAGGAAGGGAGAGGGAGAGAGAGAGATGGAAACATCAATGATGACAGAGAATCATTGATTGGCTGCCTCCTGCACACCCTGTACTGGGGACCGAGCCAGCAACCTGGGCATGTGCCCTTGACCGGAATCAAATCTGAGACCCTTCAGTCCGCAGGTGGATGCTCTATCCACTGAGCCAAACTGACTAGGACACAAGCAATGCTGTTCTTTAAGAAATAAGGTTAACAATAAAAACTCAGTATCATAAGTCATCAAAGTTGAAAAAATTATGTTTACACAATAACGTTTTAGAAAGCTTTCAACCTCAAGGTTTGTAAGAAAATGTTTTCTGCTTAAATTTCCCTTAGCTAGAACATTAACCCTAACATCACCCCTCCTCTGTGCTTAATTCTGATAATGAAATTGCTTGTTCTGTTTTTTAATCCTCACCTGCAGTCAGCCGGTTGCCCTTCTGTATGCTCCCCAATTGGGGATCAAACCCACAACCCAAGTATGTGTTTTGACAGGGTATTTCACCAGCAACCTTTTGGTGCATGGAACAATGTTCACGATTCGGGCCAGGCTGAAACTGCTTTTTCTTCAGGATGGGTTGGTGGAGCATAATAAATGACTGATTCAAAACTAGGTGTTGCCCCGCCGGTGTGGCTCAGTAGATTGGGTGCTGCCTCATGCACCAAGAGGTCACCAGTTCAATTCCCAGTCAGGGCACATCCCGGTTTCGAGCTCTATCCCCAGGAGCGGGTGGGTGTGCAGGAGGCAGCTGATCAATGTTTTTCTCTCATCAATGTTTCTCTCTCTCCCTCTTTCTCTCTCAATAGAAACATATTTAAAAATATAAAAAATAGGTGTTACCAAATGGTATTTTTTTATATTCTTTGCACTTTGGTCTTATTACAAAGCCAATTAGGTAAGGGGCAAGTATGCAAGCAGTTAAATGCCCCAGTGATGGATTAGAAATGCTGTTCTAATTCTTATTATGTATAAATCCTGGGCAGATTTCCTCCCCTATGCCTTAGTAAATTTTAGGCACACTGCCTGAAACTTTATTCTCTTCATTATGCTCAGGCTTTCCAGAGAAATAGATAATATGTTAAGCCATAAATGACATTCATGATCTTACCTGGTGGTTGTCAAGATTCATTAATGTAAGGCTGCATGTTGAGATGGTCAGTTTTATATTCATTCCCGAAAACTGAAGATTACTTTTGCCAAGAACTGTTGATAGGAACTTAACTGGAGGCTTTAAAAAGAACAAAACACTCTAAGTTATGAATTCTGTTACAGAATGAATGTTTGTTTCTTTTCATGTTAAAAATGGGTCAAAGCCCAGACATACCCTTCTTCTTTATTTCACTCTACATAAATCAAATGAGATGAAATGATCTTTTAAATAAAAACCTTTTTAAAAATTGGAATGCACCCTGGCTGTTGTGGTTCAGTTGGCTGAGTGTCGTCCTGCACACCGAAAAGTAGGAGGTTCGGTTCCCAGTCAGGGCACATGCCCAGGCTGCAGGTTTGAGCCCAGGTTAGGGTGCCTATGGGAGGCAAGAGATTGATGTTTCTCTCATCCATGTTTCTCTCTCTCTCCCTCTCCCTTCTTCTCTCTCTAAAATCAATAAGCCAAGCTGGTGTGGCTCAGTGGTTGGGCATCAACCTATGAACCAGAAGGTCACGGTTTTATCCCGGGTAGGCCACATGCCGGGTTGCAGGCTCAGTCTTGAGTGGGGAGCATGCAGGAGGCAGCCAATGAATGATTCTCTCTCATCACTGATGTTTCTTTCTCTCTCTCCCTCTCCTTCCTCTCTGAAATCAATAATATATATTTAAATCAATAATAACATATCCACAAGTGAGGATTTTAAAAATGGAATGCAGCAGTTAAATCTGAGCCCTCAGAACTTTTCTCACACATTCCCTTCTCCCCAAGTATTTGGAGTAGAGGCCTGGTTTATATAAAAGGAATTCCTGAGAGAGTTTGGATTAACTGAACTCTCAAGTCCTTTTGAACATCACAAGTATTAAAAATATAAAAAGTTGCTGTCTAAGTGTTTTTTTTTGTGATGATTAAGAATATGAAAAACACAATGTAGCAAAACTTATGGGAAGCAGCATTTATAGCTATAAACACATTAAAAAAGAAAGGCCTCAAATCAACAACCTAGCTTTACAGCTTAAAGAACTTGAAAAAAAAAAAACTAAACCCAAAACTAGCAGAAGGGAGGAAAAAATGAAGATGAGAGCATAAATAAGTGATATAGAGATTAGAAAACAAAAGAGAAAATCAACAAAAACAAAAGTTGGTTCTTCAAGAAGATCAAACTTGACAAACCTTTAGTTAGATATACTAAGAAAACGATAAGACTCATGTTATTAAGATCAGAAATGAAAGTGGGGACATTACTACTGACTCAACAGAAATAAAAGGATTATAAGAGTACTATAAACAATTGAATTCCAACAAATTGGATTACCTAGACAAGATAGATAAATTTCTAGAAACATTAGACCTACCAAGACTAATCATGGACAAATAGAAAATCTGGATAGATCTACAACTAGTCAGAAACAAAACACAAAACACACACACACACACACACACACACACACACACACACACACAGGACATAATATATTTTACCACAATTTTTTAAGTGTTGACAAGGACATGGAGAAAATAAAAGCCTGTGCACCATTAGTAGGAATGTAAAATGGCACAACCACTATAGAAAACAATATGACAGTCCTCAAAAAATTAAAAATAGAATTACTGTATGATCCAGCAATCCCACTTCTTGATATATATCCCCACAAAATTGAAAGCAGAGACTTGACCAGATATTTGGACTCCCATTTTCATAGCTAAAATGTGGAAGCAACCCAGTGTCCACTGACAGATACATGGACAAGCAAAATGCATTATATACAGACAATGGGATATTATTCAGCCTTAAAAAGGTAAGGAATTCTGACACATGCTGCAACATGGATGAACTCTGAGTATATTATGCTAAGTGAAAAAGACAAATACCGTATGATTCCACTTAAATGAAGTACTTAGAGTAGTCCAAATCATGGCGATAGGAAGTATGGCGGTGGATGCAATGTGATTCCCATTGCCTATTATCTTTATTCCCATAAAGCTGTGGAAGCCAGGTCTTAAGATGCCATCTTTAAATATTTGTGATGTTCAAAAGGACTTGAGAGTTACACACACACACACACACTAGAATGGAGAGAGGAATGGGAAGTTATTGTTTAATGGGTAGTGGAGTTTTGGTTTTTAGAAGATGAAAAGAGTTGTGGAGATGGATGGTGGTAATGATTGCACAACATGAATGTACTTAATATCACTAAACGGCACACTTAAAATGGTTAATAGGTAAACTTGATATTATGTATATTTCACCACAATTTTTTAAGTTGTGGGGGAAAGAGTATAAAAAATACAAAGTGCTTAGAAGAGTCCCTGGCATGTACTAAGTATTCAGTAAATGCTAGCTGTCAAAGGAAATTTAACTCAAAATTTTCCTTTTTTGTTAAAGGTGTACTTTCTGGAACAATAATAGCCTGGTTTGTTTTGTTTGGGGGTATGGACTCCCTACTCCTGAAATGAGAAAACCTTAAATGAATGGGCCTGTTTGTTGGGACCATCCAGTTGCAGCATCCTATTCACAGAGGTTCTGAGAAGTAGGAGGATGCTTTTCTAATAGAATTCAAAGTCATGCATCAGAGTTTTCCATACCATGTGGCTCATCTGAGTCATCCTGGGTTACACCGGGTTCAGCTCTAGGCAAAATGATGAAGAATGATGACAAATGAGGCAGGGTGGTATGGAAATAGAGCTCTAAGGTGGGAATCTGAAGACCTGGCTTCTATAGCTGGCTCTGATCTTCATGATCCTAGTGACTCAAGATAAATCTCTTCTCTGAGCCACAGTTTAGTAACTGGCAAAATGAGAGGGTCAGCCCGGAGGATACCCAAACATTCCTTCCCTTTTAAACAGTTTCCATTTCTAAGACTTAGACAGTTATCTTAAGAGCCTTTATGTCCCCTTTGGACTTTTCAAAGCAACTATACATCCTAGAGTTAATAGCTTAATAACAATAATACTAATTACCATTATTGTTGAAAGTCTAATAGGTGTCAGACGCCGTGTTAAGCACTCTGTAGACATCATTTCACTTAATTCTTATATAACTCTGTAAAGTAAGTGCAATTTTCTCCCGTTTTACAGATGAGGAAACCAAGGGTCTAAAAGGTGAAGTGACTTGTCCAAGATCACACAGTTGGTAGTGTTAAGGAGAAAACCGCAGGCTCCAAATGGAGGCACTTGCACTAAAGCCCATGTCACTGAACCTACTCTTTTATTTTATTTTATATTTTTATTGATTTCAGAGAGGAAGAGAGAGAAACATCAACGATGAGAGAGAAACAATGATTGACTGCCTCCTGCACACCCCCCACCGATGATTGAGCCCCCAACTTGGGCATGTGCCCTGAAGTGAAATCGAACCTGGGACCCCTTAGTCCAGCAGGCCGACACTCTATCCACTGAGCTAAACCAGCCAGGGCTGAACCTACTCTTAATACCTGACCCAATTGCTGTTTCAACTTTTTCCAGGAATGTAATCTTAATCAGTCAATCTGGAATGTTCCGGTCAGTACCCGTGAGGTAACCTCTCACATGGGCCTTCTGCATCCGAAAGGAAACTGAGGCAATTTGCCTGGTAAGGCCCCCACCTTTCCCAAAGGGAAGGTAAGCTTGCCTGAAACAATCCTTTTTTTCTTTTGCTAATCATTTCCTTGTCTGGCAGTTTCTGCCTAGAAAGGCCTTCTATACTGCACAGTTTCTCGGAGCACCTCTCTATTTATTCGACGGGATGTTGGCCGGTTTAATAAAGCCAATTAGATCTTCAAATTTACTCAACTGAACTTTTGTTCTTTAAAAGTAGGAGGCAGAGGCAGGATTTAAACCCAAGTCTATCTAACACCAAAACTTGTGCTCTTTCAGCATGAAAAGTTCCTTCTCCCCATGTGTTATTATCTCATCTCTGCCAGCACCCGTGTTTGCATTTGAAATCAGCCAAGGAGTTTAAAACGTCTAAAATGTTAAAAATACAGATATTAGATCATATTCAAATTGGAAGGTACCAAACTGGCCATCTGGTTCAACAACTTCACTTTACAGGAATAAGAAAGAGTCTCAGACACAGAAGATACTGCGTTCGAAAGAAGGTAAGGACCCAGGCCTGGAACCCAGACGGTCTCACTTGAACCCCAGGAGCTTTCTCTGCTCTGTCCTTCCAGGCAACACCATTTAAGACAAGTCGGAAAATCTGAGGGGCCAGAGTGACTTTGAGTTGTATCTCTACTACCATGCCAACTAATAAAGGCCATTCGGGACCTTAAGTCATATGGTGGAATGACCTAACAACTATTTTGATATCATCGTTCTCATAGTTGGGGAAACATAAAAGAAGAAAACCACACCAATATTTATTTACCTTTCGCTTTTTAGTGGCTCCGTTTGCCCCAGGGACAGCTTCGCACAGACGGCTTATTGCTTCCCTATGGAACAGAAACCATATGAAGACTTAGCGTACTGTCTAGTGCGCAGTAAATGCTCAATTAATGTTAGCAAGTATTATACTACACACATCGTGGCGAGTCTGACATAAGCAACCTTCCCCACTCCCATAGGGGAAAACACGCTTGGTACTTCCAGCAACTCCCTAATGCTGAAAAACTGCTTTATAATAAGCAGTCCTACCCATCACCTTCGTCTCATTTTTTTTTTCTAGGCTTTTCAGGTTTGTTTTTTTTTGTGTGTGTGTTTTGTTGTTGTTGCTGTTAATCCTTGCCCAAGGATATTTTTCCCCATTGATTTTTAGGGAGGGTGGAAGAGGGAAGACAGAGAAACATCAATGGGAGAGAAACACATCGATTGGTTGCTCCTGCATGAGCCTCGCCCAGGACCCAGGCCCGGTAAGAGTCAGCAACCAAGGTACATGCCCTTGACTGGAATCTAACCTGGGACCCTTTGGTCCACAGGCCAATGCTCTATCCACTGAGCCAAACCGGCTAGGGCCAGGTTTGGTTTTTAGTGTTGTTGTTTTTTAACCAACAAGGAAGGGCAGAACTTTATTGTCTGAGACTATTTCACAGTTTACCTTTAGCATAACCTTCTCTGTGGTGCTATGAATAAAAAGCTTCATGGTAGCTCAGCACCGAAGACAATTAAATACAAAAGAACCTGACACTAGAGGAAGTTTGAAAGGAAAGGGAGAGACTGAACTTCAACATGGTCTCAAATGGAGCCTTATTGACCAAGCTACTGCTACGAGCCATTGAGCTCTCACGTAATTTCACAGAAGAAAGGAAAATCAATAACAAATTTCCTCCTTTGCTTATTTTTCTGCCCTTTCTATATATTGCACTTCCTGAGAGAAAGGCTCCACTAAAACAAGTAGCTGCTCCTTAATGGAAGTGGTGAACGCACTGGCGCCCTCCTCCCCAGAAATGCAGTTAGAACTAAGAGCTTCTGTCTCCGGCCTCCGCATTCACAACCGCCCAAGCTTTCACTCGCGTAATCTGAGCCCTCGCCATGTGGCTTTCAATACTTATAGTAAACTTTTCACAAAGCAAATGGAAATCTCTAAGCTCTTCCCCGGATTCCCCGGAGATCACTGTTCAAATTAGTAAACTATATTAACACGCACAATACAGTTTTTATATCTATTATTCTATTTCATGAAAATATTTTCTCTGAGATGTTTTCAAAAGGAGGAGCAGTTAGAGAGAGGAGAGACAGAGATAGAGGTAGAGAGAGACAGACAGAGAGCAAGAGAGGCAGAACAATTCTAGTAGACACTTTAGACAGAAGAAGAATAAAAGAATTTCCAAAGATTTTAGATATTACTTTGGATTTATAATGTAGGTTTTAGTTCCGATTCTTTTGTGTTTCTGGATGATTTTTTTTTTTTTCTGGATAAGTAATTATTCGAAGTTGTTACTTTTTATATAGGACCTTGTAGTTTTACAAAGTGCTTCTTCTCCAAGGTATTATCTTGTCTGATTTTTGCATAAATACCTGCCACCAAAAGATAGAATGGCTTTTGGGCTTAGCGTATTTTCTCAGGATTTCATATTTATTGTTTTCCTAGGATTTCAAACTTTGTCTCTGGAGTCAAATAGAAGGATAACATAGAGGGTTGGGCTCTTTTGTTTGGTTGATTGATGTTTGAATCATCTTAATGATTAATCAATAATTGATGAGACACATATAATTGATCCAAATTGGCCTCTGGTGTTGCCAAAATAACTAGTGCAGGCACCCCACTAGGGTGTTGGTATTTAATAACGATGTATTATAAGAAAGGCATTATCAGATCCTTTACTCCGTGAGAGCCTACTGGTCCCCTGGAGTGCTTGGGTCTAAAAAGCTCCTTGTAAATGGTTTGAAATAGAAGTAAAAACAAAGATGAGCAGTGCTGCTGCTGCGTATAATAATAGTAATTATTCGAAGTTGTTACTTTTTACATAGGACCCTGTAGTTTTACAAAGTGCTTTCCCAGACATTGGGTTGTGTTTTTGTTTTGTTTTTTATTCTCATACCAACTGTCAACACTGAAACAGGAATTTTGGGGGGTGAAAAAGATAGGTTTTAGGAAATTTTAGAAATTAAGAGAACCATGGAAGAAGCACAGGGCTGCAGAGCAGCAAGAGGCACATTTCCATAGAACGAGGGAGCTGGGAACAGCAAAAGGTCTATATTTACAAAATAAAGGGAAGGAAGCCCTTCATTCAGAAGAAGAAAGCCCAAAGGGAATAGGAAAACAATAAGGAAGGAGGGGGGAGAACCACACATGTCCCATGTGAGGCTCAACCTTTGAGCCCAGGAGTTACTATAGTAGCCAGTCTAAGGAAATAGTGACCAATCAGAGGGGATATCAAGGCACCAAGATCTGCAGCCTTTATAAGCCTAAGGAAAAGGAACTCAGTGGGACCCTTTCCCCTCCCCACAGGGGAGTCCGTACTTGTTCTTTAATAAATTTCCACCTTTGCTATACTACCCTCTGTCTGTGGATTCATTCTTCGACTCCAACGGACAAAGAATCCAGGTTCCAGTCCAAAAATTCCAATACCCTCTAACAAAATGTAAAGTTGTGACTTTGAATTAAAGAAAATGCTTTATTTTTTTAAAAAAAACCAAAAACCCTGCATTTTAGCTTTCTTTTCCCTTTTATTGAACTTATTGGTGTGACACTGGTTAGCAAAATTATACAGAGAGGTGGGACAACCTTCATGCTACCGATAGTAACAGACCTTTATTTCCCTCGCTGCTCGCGTCCCACCTTAGCCTTTAACTCCTCCCTATTTCTTTGGCAGTTTACCTCAGCCACATGGGCATAAGGATTGGTCAAAAAGAAGCCCTCGTGGCCGTGGCCGGGTAGCTCACTACATCCAGATCTATCTTTTCAGTTTATTTGGTAGACTTGCCTGTTTCCATTTCCCAAATGTTCATGAAGAAAAAGGAATCTTGACCAGGTTCAGCCACCCTTTCACATTAGAAATGCCTACTTCAGAATGCTGCAGCAGGAAGCCAGGGTTTTAAGGAAGGAGCAGCTCCTATGTACATGGCCAGGCCCGGCTGGAAGCATCTCATTCAGTCTTAGCAATGTCATTTTCAGGTAGGTACTTTACCCCTTTTACAAATGAGTATACTAAAGGTCAAAGAATTTAAATACCTGACTCCAAAAAATGCAGCTGATACTGGGAGAGACAACATGCAAATCCAGCTCTGAATTCAAAGCCTGAAGGCATGGGGCGGGGCGGGGGGGGGGGGGGGGGGGACGTGCATGGAAAGGACAGAGTCCTAGGATCCTGGGTCTACAGGAGAAAATATATTGGTGTCCTTCCCTTGCTCACTTCCCAACGTATAGAGGGTTCCTTTATTTTAAACAAATTATTGATCTGAGAAAGAGAGGGGGAGGGGAGAGAAAACATGGATTTGTTGTTCCACTTGTTTATGCATTCATTGGTTGATTCTTGTACGTGCCCTGATTGGGGATAAAACCCGCAACCTTAGTGTAACAGGACAGTGCTCTAACCAACTGCGCTACCCAGCCAGGGTCACAAGGGCTTCTTTTTAACCAATCCTTATGCCAATGTGGCTGAGGTTGATGGGGAAAATAAGACATTTCTTTTTTGGGGGGGCGGGGGGGACTAGCAATCTGAATTTATGCCAGTAACCTAATGTACATTCTTGAAAACCTATAATTAAGTCACTGCCCCTTTCCCAGAAACTGGTCTTGCAAAACCTGTTACCTAAATGCTCACATCGTACAGAGGCCATAAACCATGAGACAGCCCCCGGCGGGGGTTTATCAGCGCTGGCGCCAGGCCAGGCCCTCAGGTATGGTCTCAAGACCCCCAACACCTGGCGCTGTTTGCAAAGCCTGAGAAAGATCCGGAAGTACAATCCATATTTGGGGAACAAAGACACCAAAAGGGGATAAAAGAGGGGCTTCCACCATATTGGTTTGCTCAGAATTTGAGAGGCAACCTCCTCTGTGTCTGCCAGTGTAATAAAGCTGTGTAACTCCATTTCTCTAGGGTTGCTTGGTTTTTCTCCTGTCTTCTATTACAAGGTAAACTGCCACGGAAACAGGGCACAGAGGCAGGGGTCAACTCTGGAAATGGCTCACATGGATGCTCCTACCCTTTCCCAGCCCTCTGCTTTCCATACATTGGCTGTTACCAACTTATGTTATTCAGAGCCTGTCCATATGCCCAAGTGGGCAGCACATACGTGTGTGCACTGGCACCCTCACTCAGAACTTTAAAGTCAGTTGAGGCACAGGAAGTTTCACAGATTCTGAAAATCTCTTGACATACAACTTTGCTCAGAAAAAAAAAGAGGACACTTTTGCCTATGAACTTGCTTTTAAGAAGTAGTTATATTGTACACCATGTTCATAGCAGTATTATTCACAATAGCTAAACATAGAAGCAACCCAAGTGCCGATCTGCAGATAAATGGAAAAGCAAAATGTGATTATATATATACAATGGAATATTATTCAGCCTTTTACAAAGGGAGGAAATTCTGCAACATGCTACAACATGGATGAACCTTGAGGACACTGTGCTAAGTGAAATAAGGTGGTAACAAAAAGACAAATACTACATGATTCCACCTATGTGAGGTAGTTGGTCAAAAGCAGAAAGTAGAACGGGGGCGGCCAGGAGTCTGAGGGGGAGAGGAGGATGAGGGGTTATTGTTTAATGGGTATAGACTTTCAGTTTTACAAGGTGAAAAGAATAATGGGGTTAGATGGTAATGACGGCTGCAAAGCACTAAGAATGTATTTAATAGCACTGAATATACATGTAAAAACGTGTTATGATGGTAACTTTTGTTATGTGTATCTTACCACAAAAAAAACCAACAAAAGTACTTATTAATTTGAGACTTTAAAGAGAGTCACACTCTCTCTCCAATAAAGTTTGTGCCTGTTTGCACAAACTTTCCTATTTAATTTGAGAGGGCCCCCCTCACCAGCACC